TATATATATAGTATATCATCATGTATCTCTTTTATTAAAGTGATGAAATGTTGGATTCATTGACTGTCAAATCGTTTTAACTTTTCTGCTGCCCTTGAGTCAAAGTGGTACTTGAGGCTGAAACCCTCTGTCTTCAAATGGACTCCTCTGGGGTCATTTGACCCAAGGACAGCAGGAGGTTAAGCATGCCACTGTAGACCTTCAAAGTAGTTCAGCTTAACAATAATTTGTCTCCCTTTTTACACCTTAAAATCTTTTTTTATATATAAACTTTATTAATCTCCAATGGAGAAATTAATTCTCTGCATTTTTCCCATCACACATGTGGAGCAGAGGGCTGACATCTAAGGGGTCTGGGGGGGGCAGCTTGGGGGGTAAGGCCTTGCCCAAGGGTGGCAGATGTGGGTGTGTCACCTTACCCACCTAACTTTTTTGCACCAGTCTGAGGATTTGAACCTGCAAGCTTATTAAAGTAAAGGTAGCTCGTCTAACACCTGAGCAGGCTGCAAAATATGTTCTGCACGCTCGGTATGTGAGCTGGTATGCACGCTGAGTGGAAGTTTTGGCGCGTTTTTGGGTGGGACCTAGTTTGATGCCTTGACTCTGTCGTTTTGACTCACGAGGAGGAGGAGGAGGAGGAGGAGCCTGTAGCAAAGCAGTGTGGGAACAACCTTTGCTCTGGAATCCTGCAGGTTGAACAAAAGCTTTCAGTCGGGAGCTGCTTTGTGGTGGCCACCGGCGGAGGTCACAGCGAGGGGAGAGGCTCAACAAAAAGCGTGTCAGTGCGCACTTTGAGGAGCTTTGTTGGGGGGATTGTGCTTTGTGCGTGAGGCGGGTTTTTTGTTTTTCTAATCGAAAAACAGAATACATCCTGTAAAACAGCTCCTGCAGCATTTTTTAAACAGTGACGGTTGAAAAGGCCGACCAGACGGAAGAGTCGAGGGATTTGATGTTCGTTTCAGCTTCAGACAGATTCAAAATTCACAATCACGTTATTTCACAAGTGTGCAACAGGTGTGCAAACAGAGCTTGCATCGCAGCCGAGAGAAAACAACACGAGGAGAAACAGAGCAGGGTCCGCCGGCCTCCGAGCAGCGCACTTGAAAACTGCGAGCTGAAATATGCTGTTTGTGTCAAAACGTTACCTGGAGCTACGCAGCTGCTCTCATCGCTGTCTGAAAACAAAACACCAGATAAATCATGGCCGCCTGTCTTTGTTATAAGTCATCGCTTCATGATTTAAATGCCACGGCCTCGGTCGTGAGACGTCGCCGTGGCAACAGCAGGGACTGGAACCGTTGGTTGGTTAACCTGCTTCCAGTGAACCAATCAGATCCCAGCTATGAGTTTAGAGCTGATGGGAGAGAAATGCTAATATAATAAATGTTTATAGGTTTGTTTGGTTTTTCAGTGTTGGAGCCAGAGGAGAACCTGATTGTGACAGCACCTGTCAGGGGTCCGGGTATGGGTCAGGATGAGCCTGCAGTCCCTCTGGGTGGTCCCGTTGAGATTAAAGTGCAGAATCTGGTTGAAGAGCAAACAGAGGAGGGAGATATGGACTCTTTGCCCATTCCTGATTCATCCTCACTGAAGGAGGTGGCTGAACGCACAGCTTCCCTCTCAGCTGAGCCATCCCCAGACTCAGACCTCATCCATACTGCAGGTCCAATCCCAGATCTGCCTCCAGCTTCAGGGCCAGCATCTGTCCCAGAACCCGATCCAATCCCAAGCAGTGAACCAGCCGTTTCATGTGCCTCAGAGCTGCCAGAGGAAAATCCTTTGGTGGATCCAGAGCAACAGCACAGTGCCCTCCTCAGCCATGAAAAGCCTTCAGAAAAGACAAACAAGTCCAAGCCTTCGTGTCTGAAACTCAAAACCCAAGTGGATCCTCAAAATGATGAGGAACAAGAACTTCCTGTTCCCAAGGCTGCTTACAACTTTGACCCCGAGCAACTGGATGATAGCTTTAACCCATTCATCAGCGGCGGATCCAAAATCCAGAACTCTCCCCCACCATGTGGTCCGAGCCACCTCTCCAGGCCCGAGCCTCTTGGCAGCTCCTCACCCGCCTCTGAGAATGACTCAGCGACACGAGCAGATTCTGAAATGGTGAAGTTGTCTTCAGAGGCAAAGCCTGTGGTGCTGGAGTTTGGTCTGGACGATGAAGTGGTCAGAAAGCCCCCTCCAAAAAAGTTAGGAGGGAAACGTTCAACCAGCAAACTTGCTACAAAGAAGCAGAAGCCTAAAGAATCAGAGACCTTCCTTAAACCTGAACCAGAACCACCAGCACCGGAGCCACATCCTGAGCCAGAACTCCCTCCTCAGCCTGTATCAGACCCTGCTCCAGAACCGGACACAACAGACTCCTCTGCTCCTCTGAACCTGGATGATGTACCGATCCCCAAAGCCGGAACGTATAACTTTGACCCCAGCAAGTGGGACGATCCGAACTTCAACCCGTTTGGAAGCAACACGTCAAGCAACTCTCCGGTGCTCCCCAAGGGCTCGTACAGCTTTGACCCGGAGAACTTTGACGACTCCGTAGACCCTTTTAAATCGTCAAAATCCCTGAGCAACGAGGACTCTTCCTGCGGCGTCTCTCAAGCCGAGACAAAAGTCAAAAACGAGAACAAACCGAAAGCAAGACAGGCCGAGAAGAAAACGAGGCAGATACCGAAGAAAAACAAAGACAGGACAACCACGTAAGTCTTCTTGTTCTACAAAGTCGTCATTGTTAACCTGTAAACATAGATATCTTGAAGGCAGAACAAATAGGTTTATGCTTACAGCTGCAGTTGACCTTGTGCTTGTGCTCAGACGTGAACCTATCTGCTGAATAACTAACACGCTGACACTTTACTCACTCACACCCTTTCTCTTTTGTCTCTCGGCTCTTTTGTTGTCCTTTTTTTACCCTTTGTCAACATCCTCCTCGCTTTACCCCCTTCATCCTCCATGTCTCCTCTCGTTGTGTGCCATGCAACGATCAAATCTCTGCTTCTGTCCGTCCCCTTTTATCGGCCTCAGGACCTCTGAGCAAGTCAAGTTTCTCTGTTTTCTGTTGTAAGTACTCTACCTATCCGAGGTCTATTTCTTCCACGCATACTTCTTGTTGTGCTCTCGTCACGGCACGTGCTGCATCACAGCAAGACAGTTGAAGGTGCATGTATCAGCCAAAAAACATTACTTCATAAATCAGCTGTTTGATTTGTTCCACTTTGTTTAGTTTTTTTAGGAAGTTGTGCAGAATGAGTTTGATTTCACATCTCATTAAGCCTCATTTGGTGTCTGTCGGTGCAACAGTGCACATAAAGCTTGCTTGATGGTCGTAGAGATATTAGCTTTTTAAAGTTGACAGATTTTTCTTTGATTTTTTTTTTACCTTTATTCGTGTGCTTGTTTTGCAGGAATTCCTGTAAGGTACAGAAGTATGACGAGAGCGAGTCCTTGGTGCTCGATGTGTGCAATCAGGTAATTTTAGCATCGGCGTGACTCTGCGTTGCTAAAATGTTTTACCTCGCTCAAATGACACTGCAGCTTCCATTATTCAGCACCTGTCCAACAGACCAGCCTCAGCACACACTCTCTCTCACACACTGAGTCACTCACGCTGGCAGGGGCATCAGTAGGGTTTCTGTCTCTGCAGTACAGTGTTGGCACAGTGACAGATCCCTGACTTATCACTCTGCAGTCAGTCTGCTCCTCTCGTGTGTCCTCAACAACATCAGCTTTGTTATCTGAACGGAGACATAGAAAACCTGAGATAGTTTCATTTATGTGCCTTTTTGTATTGCATTGCTGTTGAAAAATACTATTTAAAGTTGCTGATGCTAAAGAACCGAAGCACCCTTATTACTCTTTGTTCATTATTCTTACATTTCTGCCGTGAATTGTGTTAGCTTCACATACAAAATTATTAAAATTATTGAAAACATTTTGCATAGACAATAAGAGTTAGGAGGAATAAGTGAAAAAAACATGTCTGTAGTTTGGGCATGCTTCACACACCAACAAAAACATTGTTCAGAATTTAAATGAGTCACAAAAACTAGACATTACATGTCTAAACCGGCATTTTTATGTCTAGAGGTGTCAGGTAGTGAAGTACAAATACTTTATTTTACTTAAGCAGAAATTTTGCTTGTGTATACTTTAATTTTTTCATGCAGTTATCTGTACTTTGCACTCTTTACGTGTTAAAAATGCAAAAAGAATTTAGTTTCTGTGTCTTGGATGATGAGTATAAATATCATTCTGACGCTCTGTTGTTGCACCACACCTGTACAACACAAATCACATCACACTCTGGCAGGTTTAAACAGATGTATGTAGCCTCGTATGAAGATGACTGTAGCACATAAACTGTATATATGAGGCTGAAACAGGTAGCCTAGTGCATAGTGTTACATTTCATTATATTTTAGTCATTAGTACCTTTAGAAAAGGTTTTTTGGGGAGGTGGGGTTGTATACTATAGACCCCTGTGGTGCGGCCTAAGTTTTTATTTTCCTTACATAACTTTTACTTTTATACTTTAAATAGTGTTAAAACCAGTACTTTTGCACTTTTACTTGAGTAAAAAGCTTGACTTCATCCTTCGGCTTCCAAAAAAATATTTTAAACCTTAGTATCTATACTTCTAGTTAAGTAATGAATGGTAATACTTTTGACACATCTGCATGTGCTTCATGGTTTTTACACAATCCCGGTTTAAATTTTAGGATTTTTTAAATAGAGATTTTACCACAGTTTATGTCATCCATCAACATGCTTCCTATTCTCATAAACGTCACACTGTTTCTACAGGTTACACACCAAACTGTACGCTTTATGTTTTCTTTCACCTAGTCACCTAACACACCTGCTACATGTATGGTTTTCTGTCTGAGTGTGCACACGTCCAAACTTTTATTGTCTTCAATTGTTTCTGAGCTCAGAATTTTCTATTCAAAACAGGATATGAAGGGTCGTTTTGACTTACCGTAGTCTATATAAAGCACCGTATAAAAAGTGACACGTGGCCCACAAAGCGTCTGACAAGCAGGTCTTGTAGTTTTTTCACAGAGGCTCTTTGAGGTTCAGTTTCTTCTCTGTGGCAGCAGCTTTGATGTTTCTTTTGATCTTGTTTTATATTTACTGATCTATACATCACGTTGTCACTGTTTTGTCAGCTTAGATCATTACAAATGTAAAATAACTATTAGGTCTTATAGAAGGAAGCTGTTGCTTTTTCAGGCAGTAGCTACATTAGCGCCTTTCAATATTTCTTCATCGTTTGTTTTGTTGAACACAGTTGTTTCCAATTAGATTAAGACTGGAACTTGTTAAAAGTTAAAACCGTGCCTGCCGGCTCTTTCCTTCTCTGCATTTTACGTGCTGAGAACAGGTTTTTATAAGCAGGTGTAAGTGTGTGTGAACAATAAATCTTTTTTTTAAACAGAGGTTTAACATGTTTTCTCACTTCCAAGGGGGAGGATGAGGTGGCGGCTCAGACCCCGGAGATCACTCAGCGAATTCATCACGCCACCGATGAGGAGAAGCTGGCCTCCACTGGTATGACTGGTCAGAGTCAGACTACCAACATCCAGGAGGAGAGAGAGGAGCTCCAGTGTGATGAAGAACCTGTGAAAAAGCAGCCATCCAGTGAAATATCTGTAGAAAGTAAGTAATAGAGAGGATTCCAATGGGAGTTAAAATCATTGTTAATTTATGGAAAAGTTTCAGGCAAGAAATGATAAAAATTGTTGGAATATTTTTATTGTATGGATGACAAATGAAGGGTGACTCAGTTATCCAAGTTTTTCTGCAGCTTTATTGAGACTTAAAGGCTACAAAAATAAAATAAAATAAAATGTATGAAGAAGAGAAATGAGGCGTGTAAGGCCTTGATTTAAGTTAGTTAGAAATCAGAGGTGCATAGTAACTAATTACATTTACTTTGTTACAGTACTTAAGTCATTTTAGAGGATTTGTAATGTTACAATTTTTTTCATCGTAACTTTTATTTTGTTAAATTGAAAACAGAAAAATAACCCTTTGACTGCTTTACTTTAAACTTTAACATCTAATTTTACGTTACAGATTTAAATATGACCAGAATTTATCATGAAAGGAGTAGTTTATGCACTTTGAAAATTAACTGTTATATTTACTTAAGTTGTGTCATCTGGTTCTACTAAACCAAGTAAAGTAAGTGTAAACTAATTTACACATTTTCTTAAAAAGTAAATTGGTTTTATCTTTTCACAGGTCTTGATATCAAGATTACAGATCACCTGAAGGAGAAGGAAACCCTGAAAGATGATATAGTAAGGAACAATATAAATAATTCAGCACTACTGTTTGTTTTTTCTTTAACTTTTTTTGTTCATTGTAAGAAAACATACAGCTCATCAGACTAATCATTTACTTTACTAAAACTATCATTGTAAGCAAAGATTGATTTTTTTTTTTTTTTAGTGGTAATATTTTTGTGTTACCTAGCATCTTTGACCTGCATAAATATCACGACGTTCCTGACTCGGCACACAGATCTGTACGTGTTGTTCTCCACAGAATGAGAGCTTCGTGCACCAAGCAGTCAAACTGAGCAGTGGCGAGGATCCTGAGTCAGCAGCTCTGTCTCAGGATGACGTCCCTCTGAGTGAGATGGACAAGGCTGCAGTGCTCACCTTGATCAGGGAGGAGGTACGTCACTCCTTCATATCCTGAAACAAGAGAGGGCAGAGGGCACTTAAACCACAACAATGGTTATCTCTTCTTGTTTAGATCTTCTCTCTGTCAGGTTAGACTTTTTTTTTCATCCTACCTTCTTTTCTTTATGGACAGATTATCACTAAAGAGATTGAGGTTAATGAGTGGAAGAGTAAATGTGAGGAGAGCAGAGCGGAGGTTATGGAAATGAGGTAGGAATCTTGTGCTTCCCTAATACTTTTCCCAGAATATTGGAATAAAGACATGTACAAATATAACTGCATTAGAAAACAAAATTGACCGTTTTTGTTTGTTTGACAGGAAAATTGTTGCAGAATATGAGAAAACAGTGGCACAGATGATTGGTGAGTTACTGCCCCCTGGTGGTGGTTTGTTTATCTTTGTTCATATCATCCTGTCTCCTGAAGGTGTTATTTTAAAGTGCCTGTGACATCAAATCTTTGTAATAAATGGGAATGCATTTTTGCTAAGATAACATTGATAACCTATTGCAAAAATAAATAAATAAAAATTCACACCACTAAAGTGAACAGGTGTTGATATATTTGCGTGTGAAGCGAAAGGAAGTGATGTCAAAGGGGAATATCTGCATGTGAACAGAGAATTGATGATATGGATAACGACACAGGCTGTAGAGAAGAATCTGATGTTTCTTTAGATTATTTTGAGTCACTATCAGAGAGAGATGAAGAAAAGCCAAGAGTTCAAATAACATTGTTTCAATAAACAAAGATCAGAGCGCTTTCTTTCATTAAGAGTTCCCCTTTTATATCACTTCCTGTTTTGTTTTGCCTGAGCCAATTAACAAAAATATGCCAGTTTTGTGAAAAAATGGATTAAATCATGTGCATTATGCCAAGTTTTTTAAATATAAAGATGTTTTCTTTCACTTTTTGTATGTGAAGGATAGGCATGTCACAGGCACTTTAAGTAATTTGTTTGTTATTTATACGTGCTTCTAATGGCCCAACTGAGTGAAGTAAGAAAACTTCCTTGGTGACGATTTGATACAAGTTTTGGAAAATTTGCATCCTTGAGTTTGGAGGTTGACTCCTGCAAAGTCATCTTATTTTATTTTGATTTCTTTTGTAAACTGAGCAGCTCTTGTTTTGTTTTTTATATATGATTATTAAATAAAGAAACAAATTTACAATTAGGATTTTAAAAAAGTATATTATCACAATTCTACAATTTGACTGGATCTTTTTAACTCATTGACTTGAAGTGTTTGGAACCGGACTCTAGTCAGACTGATGTCACTCTCACCTTCTCCTCTAACTTGTTTGTACATGTTTGTTTTTGACCTTTTGTCTGCTCTCTGGTCTTCAGGAAGTAGAAGCATGTGATCAGTCAGGCTACTGAGCTCAGAAAGTCAAACAGCGTGGAGTCTTGAAAAAAACTTCCTGCAGTTTGTGTTTTCCTAAATCTTTGCTGCTTCATTCCCTAAACACTGAAAAGCCATGGCTAAAAGTCCCTCAGGCAATAAGTTTATAAATACTAACAATTACTTATAAGTTCTTGTTTAGTATAAAAATGGTTACATTTCATAGTTTTGTCTCCCATCAATTTTAAGTTTGTTGTAGACGCGTTGAGGTTCTCTTATCTTGTTTATTTGCCTGCAGAGGACACGCAGCAGCAGAAGAGCCTCTCCTGCAGTAAATCGGTCAGACAGTTGACTCTAGAGAGGGATCAGGCTCTCGCTGATCTCAACTCAGTGGAGCGCTCCTTCGCTGATCTCTTCAGGAGGTATGAGAACATGAAGGGGGTCCTGGAGGGCTTCAAGAAGGTCAGTGTGACTCCTGGGAGCTCATGTGCAACTTTATGTCGCTGCCAGATGTTTTGACATGCTTTCAATCTGTCTGTTCAGAATGAGGAGGTGCTGAAGAAGTGTGCACAGGACTACCTGCTGCGCATCAAGCAGGAGGAGCAGCGATATCAGACTTTAAAAATCCACGCTGAGGAGAAGCTGGACAAGTAAGATTCACTTTTTAGAAGTTATTTCTATGTGTTTCAGTCACTTGAATCCTAAATCACAGTTTGATGGTCAAGTTTAGGCAGAATCTCTCATTTCTTCTCTTCCTGTCCAACAGAGCTAATGAGGAGATCGCTCAAGTTCGTGCCAAGGCCAACGCTGAGAGTGTCGCTCTGAATGCAAGCCTGAGAAAGGAGCAAATGAAGGTGGAGTCGCTTGAAAGAGCTGTCCTTCAGAAGGTAAAGAGGCTGCACAAATGACTGATTCAACATGTGTTCATGAGGCAGAGCTGCTAAAAACATCCTTGAAAATAAATCCCTTTCAGTAGGTTTTGGTGGTTTAACCTTTTTGTATTTGGGTGTGAGAAAAGATGATGAGGCATGTTTCAACACTGGTGCTTTCACGACAAACGAACAGTGGGAATTATTATGTGAAAACAAGTCTCTGTTGCATTTTGTGGTTTGGATTTTATAAGATAAGAACTTTAACCACTTCCCACTAAACTTTTTATCTCTTGAAACTTTGGCAAAAACATGTCCCAGTACAAAAAGTGGTAATTTCTGTTGGAAATTAAAACCATTTTCATGCATAAAAGTAATCTAGGTTATAATCAAGGGATCCTTTGCACATATGTCAGGTTATTTTATAGGTTTGTTTTTCATTTGTATTAAAAAAAAATTGCTTGCCCTCAAATAGGAGATAATCTTTTCAATTTCAAAGCAAAAAGTAATAATTCAAATTATTATTATATTTACCACACAAAAAATACATTCTAATCTGTATTAAAATTTACAAACAGTGAGTTTTGAACAATATTTACTATTATTTTATGGTTGCTCAAAATGTGTCTCCACCCTTGGATATTAATAAAAAGCAGTAAAATCTGTTTGCAGAAATAGACTTTAAATTAATTCTGATGATGATTCTAGTGATTAAGCTGTTAAAAAAGTCTAAATGACAGTAATTTTGCTGTGGCGCTTAAGGCCTTTCAGCACAGTGAAATCCACAGCTGCAGTTGCAGAAAAGCCAACACTAGAGGGCAGTGTTTCCTTTTCTAACACCAGACTCAAGTTAAAATGAAGGCAAAATGTGGAAACTAACCTCAAACCTCAGAAATTACAGGCAAGACAAATTTCTTATTGTCATTTCCTTTTTGTTCCTGTGCAGATGTGCCAGTATGTCACAGTTTTTTGTGTTTGTTTCCCGCAGAATCAAGAAATTGAGGAGCTCACTAAGATCTGCGACGAACTGATCGCCAAATTGGGTCCAGACTAGGAAACATTAAAATAATCTTTGCAGCACTTTGACGGCCTCTTTCAGCTGGAGTCATGGAGTATTTTTACATCCATCTTATTTTAACTAATTATACATTGTTTTGACATAAATACATAATGGCTTCACATCCTGGATTTATTTTTCCTTTCAAATTTAAATTTGGGTCCAGGACAATATTTCTTTATTTTCCTTGTGTTTTCATGGAAGTTACATCATCATGAAGGTGTGCATCACTTATAATGAAAAGGCATCATTATTTATTCATCATATGTTAATGATGATTTTAAATGAAAATCATTTTCTTAGAAAAAAGTGGAAAATAACTATTTTTTCTTTTTTTAAGCAATGTTCTTTTATGAGAGCATTTAAACTAACAGTTTCTTGTTTTACAAAAACAAAACCATCAAATATTTCAGCATCTGTGCAGGAATTAAATCAAAGATGATGCAGGTTAGAGGAGAAAGCACAGACCTGTTCTCAGCGCAGCACATTTACCTTGTAAATATCTGAACACAATCACATATCCATTCTGAGTGCCTAAAACTGGTTTTGCTTTGTCTGTTTTCTGCTTCTTACATATTTTTGCTGCTTTTCTTCTGTGATTAGTTCACATGTAGGTGGTTTTTCAGCTTGTCTCTTTTGTTTTACCGGTTGACTTATCTCAGTTATTCAAAAGACTGAAGCGAAACCACTGAGTTTACACAAAATGTACATTTCCTCCTGTAAATCAGAGTATGTTATAGTGCACTCGTTTGATATGTTACAACATTACTATGTTGTAATATTACCCAGGTGCCGTGTTGCTTTGTGTCACTTAACCTCTGGCTTTACTCACATCAAGATGTTTTGGTGTGACCTTTTTATGCCTATTTCATTTAAGCAGGAAAGTATTTTATTTCCTTTCATGCAGTTCTATACATTGTTGCCAAAGTGTTCTGTATACTGTGTATTACTGTATTCTGTTCTTAATATTCTGAGCTAACCGGGTTGCACTCCGTATGGCTTTACCTGTGGCGATTTACCAATAAGAGCTATGTTGTTTGGCGCATGTGTTCGTCATCTGACGTTTTCCCATTTGAACGGAAACAAATTAATGTTTGCAGCCCCGCCCAGTTTATGTTTAAAGAACAAAGATTAGTTCCCGTTTTCCTTCTGCACAATCAGATGCCAAATATCAAGATGAAGTGAACTTTGGTGTGACCCTATGTCCTGTTGTACAGCTCAGAGCTGCTGGTCAAAGCACATCCGTTGATATGGTACAGTGTGTATATTTTATGAAAAGAACATTCAGAGCTATGTTATTTGTACAATGAAAGAGTTAAATATGTACTGATTGTATGTTATTGAGTATATTTTGTGCATTCCTAAATAAATGGTTATGATTTAATAAAATCTTGTTGTTTTTGTCCACAATTATTTAAGGGATGAGATCAGTTTAACCAATAAGCTCCTTTAAAAAATATAACTTCTTAAAACTTTATTAAAAAATGCAAACATTACTTGCTGCAGCTTAAGTTGCTGAACTATATTGGAGGTTCATTTATCATGTGTATATTTTTGCATTAGAATGTTAAACTCCATAAATATTCAATATGTTTAAAGGTTTACTTTTCTTCTATTTTACCTTTAGTTAGTGTAGATTTATGTAACTTCCTGGGTCTCTGACTGGGAGAGTGGCGGCCATCTTTGTAGTTCTTTATTTGTAGTCCCTCATTTTGTGGTTATCTTAAGTGGGATTGACCGCAAAAGTTAAACAGTTCAAGATATTAGTTCACTTATAATTTTCTGAAAGTTTCATTATGATCCTGTCATTAGTTCATGAGATATCTTGTTAACAGTAAATATATATATATATAAGGTGTCTATTTAAAACTTAAAGCTCTGTGCAAACAACTTCCCTCAATTGCAGAATAGAATGAATAATTCATATTAATTTTATGGTCAGTATTAATCATTTTCATAAACTATTTGTTCACCTTTTGCAGTTAGTGGTTTAGACAATAAAATAAAAGCATTCCATCCCACTTAGAGAAGGACCATAAATCAGGTGATGAAGAATTCAGCCGCTTGTCATGGAAAAGTAACAGAGCAGAGCTCTGGGCATTGACTGAGAGATTAATAGCTTTTGACTACAGAAACAGATTCAGACAGGTGAGAAATGCGGGACACACACTGTCAGGTGATGTTGGCTGTGATTTTCCTGCCTTTTCTCTCAGAGCTCTTATAAATTGTTGTGGTTGTCTTGTTTCAATATCTGGTGGTGTGTAATAAATTCACTTAAAACTATTTTTAACTTCCAGTACAGTTTTCTCAGTTTGGCTGTTTTCAGACAAACAAACAAACTCGGTGAGATCAAAGGTGAGATCAAAGGTGAGATCAAAGGTGAGATCAAAGGTGAGATCAAAGGTGAGATCAAAGACGGAAAATTCTGATCTCAACATTTTCAGGGTCTGTTTTTTCAGTTTTGTAGAGGTAGTATTTCCCCTCTGCCCCCTGTAGGTGGCGTCCCAATTACAACTCAACTTTTTATAGTGTTATGTGAAACTGAAATGATATGATCCTTTGTCAAACAGAGTGAACAGATTCTCTAATTCTTGTTATCTAGAGTTGATTTACAAAAGATCGGAAGAAATAATTGAGTTACAAAGGATATGCTGGTCATCTGAATGAATCTGAGTAATCAAAGTTGGTTAACGATGAATATCTTGTTTTGTTGTAGCTGAATTTGAACTAACACCAATGAGTATTGAGGAAGCTGTGATGAAGGCAGTTCTGGGTCAAAAAGACAAAACTGACATAAAAAGTTGTTTTTTATTAGTAAAAAATATTTCTGTATTTGAGTATCTAGATCTAAACTTTATTTATTTTTTATAAGTTACATTAAAATAAAGGAGAACCACTTCAGAAAATAGCTTCAAAGTGATATCACGAGGCTCAGAGGATGGTAGGCTGGATCAGATGCCCTCAGCAGCAGCAGGACTGTTTTGTAACCCTGGCGACTGCTTCGGAGGGGGCGGGGCCAGGATGCTGAGGCGGCCTCTGATTGGCTGTTGTGTTTGCTGAGGAGTGGTACGGGAGAGAGCAGCCAGCTGTGAGGGGAGCCCCGAAAAAAACAAAAAACTCAACCAGAAAGTACTTAAAGGACAAAGAACCGGTTCTACCCAATCCATCCTTTCTCCGACAGGTTAGAAACTTCACACACCGTGACGTGGAAAGTGTGACGGCTGGTTCTCCTCGGTCAGAGTAAGAGTTTTCACTTTTTATGTTTCCTTTGGCTCCAAGTCGTGTCGCACGTGCATTGATGTGTGATATTGATTTTTTTAGCTAGCTAACGAGTATTTGTAAAAAATAGATACATTTCTATGTATTACACGTATGACCTAAACTTTACTGTGGTTGATGTGTTTTCCTGATATTACATTTTTTGTAACTTTTTTAATTAAAACCAAGAACTTTGTGTCCTTGTTGCTGGTGCTGAGAACTACTCATCACTTTTATTGTGCACAAAAAAAAAAAAAAAAAACTTGTTGATTATAACACATTCCTTTATCTTTCTTTCATAATGAAACGATTGTGTTGCTGTAACCTAATATGTCTGAAGTGATTTGACATGTTTTAGAGCCTGTTAAATGTTTTTGGCTGAGTTATATTCACTTTAAGTTTATTTTTCAATTTAGATTATTAGTATTTTACTCAACACAATTAACACATTAATGAAGTAGAAATTAACTTTAGACATTTAATCCTGTTGTACTTGTGTCTGTCTTATTAAATAGATGTAAACATACTATGAACAAAAAAAAAAGATATGTTATTTTAACCAAAAATTAAATTAACATCAGTTCAGCCAACACAGTGAAACCAGAAATGAACATTAGGAAATAACAGAGTAGGTTTGATCAGTGCTGGGCACAGTTCCCCTAAAGCATTAGTTGGAACTAATTTCCTTATTAGTGCTTTAGGGCTTTTGCTAATTTTAAAATTTATTAGTGGATTAGCACTTGCTAAATTTAGAAGCACTAACTGAGGTCTATAAATGTTATTGATCAACGTTAATGTTAAGAGCTGAGGGTGAAAGCTGTCACACATTTTGTTCATGTGTGTCACTTATCCACCAGATGACAATAAATAAACTCAAATACAGCTGAGGAATGTCAATGATAAGTCTTAAAAGAGCAACATGTGACTCATGTTGTCTGTTGGAGAATGTTCATGGGTTGACTGGGTTATTTTAGTGCTTTAAAATTAGCTTTTTCTAAAACTTTCAGTGCATTAGTGCTTTAGAATTAGGGGACTTAAATATTTGAGTTAGTGTTTTAGGGCTAGTGGAACTAATTTTTAGATTAGTCCTGCCCACCACTGGGTTTGACTTAATGTTCCATCAGTGCTTAATTTATGACAAAAATCAGTGTAATTGTGTTGAATTCTTGGATTTAGTCTACAAGTTTAGATTTGTACAACCTATAATAATGAATTATTTAATAAAGTTAAGCCCAGGATACTTTAGTTACAAACACATTCCTGTTTAAATCAATCAAACATGGTTTGGTTGTTTTTAAAGTGTTTGTATTTACTTGCTCTCCTGCTTACATAATTATTTTCTTACTTTATAAAAAAAAAGGCACACAGAATATTTCAGTGTTTCTGCTGGCCTTTTTTAAACATGTAGTCCTTCCAAGGAGCACATCTCTTTCGGCCTCCTCTGTGACGTCCTACAGGGTTCAACTATTTACTGACCTTTACCTCGAGGGGTGTTTGTACAAGCGTGTGCAGTTTGTTGGGCTTTCACCATGACGTCAACTCATTCCACTCTGGATGTTGAGATGGCCTCCCAGCGGTCTTCCTGGCATCCTTTTATTTCTGCCTGCAGATGTTTTATCTTAATGTTCATGCATTCATCGTTTGTCATGAAATGTTAAGCTTGGTGTCATCTTTCTCTGATGTGAAGTTCAGAGAGTTCAGTTCAGCCTGAAGGCAAAGATCAGCAGATGAAGACAGTAGCTGCACCAAACCTGCAGGAGCTTAGATTTACACTCTGTTAGCACATTAAACAGGCTGATAATGAAAGTCCCTTCACTTATTTTTTCTTTGCCAAACTTTCTCTAATTCTTATTTTCTTTTACTGGAAGCCAAATGTTGTTTTTCTTTCGGCAGCACCTCTCTGCAGGGGTCTTAGCAGCGAGCAAACTCCCCTGAAAGATTTGGCAGTTGTTTTATACTGAATATCCTTCTTGACGTGACCTGGGCTCAAACCTGCAGCATCAGAATTACAGGACTGTGGCACCGACTGCCAACTCACTGCAGTTGTTTCTACCAGAGGCTCCATCCTTCTCCATCTTCTGCCACTTCTCTGTAGTCAGGCTGCAGAGACATCAGGTTTATGAGAGAAACCCAGACATCCCTCTCCCCAGCGACACTTTCCAGCTCCTCCTGAGGGACCCCAAGGCAAAAGGACCAGAGAGGCCCCCAAGGGATGGCCAGGGTTAACCTTGAAAATATGCTGGCCTCCCCACTGACCCTGTGGGGCAAAAGGGGAAACCACCCCCTCCCATTTAAAAGTCATTTTCAAATCACACAAACCATATATCTATCTCCTTTATTCACATCATAAATTTAAAACCAATAAATAAATAAATAAATACAGAATTAATAAGAAAATAAATAAATCTTAACTTATACATACAGTATAAGGCTGCTGCTCACCATTTTCAACTGAGTGAGGCGCTGGGCCATCGAGGAAGAAGAGTACATGTAGCCTCCACCTGAGGAGCGTGGCAATGTTTGGAAAGAGCAAATCAGGCGTGCAGTCGGGTGAAAATCAAGCAGAGGAAGAAGCAGCTTTACAGTGCAGAACGGTGGCTTTAAAATTGGCAAAGCTTGTATTACAAGCGGCCGAAATGGGTTTCCTCCGCAGGGTGGCTGGGCTCTCCCTTAGAGATAGGGTGAGAAGCTCGGTCATCCGGGAGGGACTCAGAGTAGAGCCGCTGCTCCTCCACGTCGAGAGGAGCCAGTTGAGGTGGCTCGGGCATCTGGTAAGGATGCCTCCTGGACGCCTCCCTGGTGAGGTGTTCCGGGCACGTCCCACCGGGAGGAGGCCCAGAGGAAGACCCAGGACACGCTGGAGGGACTATGTCTCTCGGCTGGCCTGGGAACGCCTTGGAGTTCCCCCGGAGGAGCTGGAAGAAGTGACTGGGGAGAGGGAGGTCTGGGCCTCCCTTCTGAAGCTGCTGCCCCCGCGACCCGACCCCGGATAGGCAGAAGAAAATGGATGGATGGATGTATTAAATTAAAGATGTAAATTTTACCTTTTTAGAGAAAAGGACAAACGTCTCATAAGTGTTGCAGTAATAATTATTAGTTCATCCAGCGCCCTTTCCATTGCTGTATGAATTAATTCATTCTACTTGATTGATACTCATATCAAGAGTTTATTTATGTAGGTAAAATTATGTTTACCAACCTGTTTAAAACACCAGAATGCAGAAAATGGCATCTACTTCATTCAAAGATTTTCTCAGGGGGACCCTCAGACGTCCCTCCCAACCCCCTCAACTCCCACCAGTGTGTCCCCCATAGATCACAAACACTTCTGATGCCCCTTAAATAGCTTGATGTAAGAAGCTATTACATCAAGCTATTTAAGGGGCATCAGAAGTGTTTGTGATCTTTCATGTATAAATTTATACTTTAAATTTATACATTATTAAATTTATGATATTTCATGTATAAAGATCCAAAACAGCTTATTAAATAAAGAAAATCTTAGTTCTTTGACTGACCTCAGCTTAGTTTGTTCATGATTATGACCAAAACGTCGAATCTTTTTGGTTTGATAAATTTCTGATGTGTAAACTCATTAACAGTTGTTACTTATTTTCTGTGCATTTTTGGTTGAGTCAGTTCACATTAAATTTTCGTGAATTTTGTCAATAATTGTGGTTGAACCAGAAGCTTTTGGAAGCCTGGTGATGACTAGACTAGGGCTGCCACGATTAGTCGATTAATCGACGACTAATCGATTATTAAAATAATCGATGACTAATTTAATAATCGATTAATCTTTTTTTTCTTTGTTTTTCTCTCCAAACTGTTTTGACACCTTCCACTGCCACATCTGCCTTTCTGTCCTTGACACACATGCACAGTAGTGGTAACTGGGGTAGGCCGTGGACGTCACAAGACATTATACAGACAGATTTTAGTTAGCATATAGCTAAAATCCAATGATGGTTATATAATAGCAGCTGCATTCTGGCACGATAAGCTCAGTTTTATATTCAATTAATGTATGATCCCATTAGTCGACTGAAAAAATAATCAGTGATTAAGCGACTATAAAAATAATCATTTGTGGCAGCTCTAGACTAAACCAAAGTTTTGTAATTATTCCACTTATTTCCAGGAACACAATTACTTCTCCACAGCTGAATTTCTTGGAATATTAAAAAACATAGTAAAGTCCAGCTCACTGTAAAATATTTTATCTCCCTTTAGGTCATCATCTCCTCCTCCTTTGATCTGCATCATGTTGGATCCGCTTGCCATCAGTTGTCTCTTGTTGTGTATTTGTGGGCTGTGCAATGCCCAGTCTGGCAACCCTGTAGTCCAACTACGTCTAGCTGGGGAGAAAAGGAAACACTACGAGGGCCGGGTGGAAGTTTTCTACAATGGAGAGTGGGGAACGGTGTGCGATGATGACTTCTCCATCTACGCAGCCCAAGTGGTGTGCAGAGAGCTGGGCTTCATGGATGCTGTGTCCTGGTCCCCCTCAGCCAAGTTTGGAAAAGGAGAAGGTAAAGAATTGGTGTCTGCTGGTGTCAAAATCTTAATTTGTACTCAAATAAAAAAAAATCTGATTTAGTTGTTTAAGAATTGAAGTGAGGGGTGTTTATGTGGCCATTGAATGACATGCATTACGTAAAAGTAATCCCATCTGTGTATGCAGCTCCATATGTTCCGTGATGATCTCTGAATGAGGTTCAGATTTCCCCCGACTCTGAATCCCCACAAAGCACTGGTTTCCTCATTAGATGTAAAATGTGAGCTGGAACACATCAGTCAGTGCAGAGTAGGGAACAACTGGAAACAAGATATGTAAACCAGACCCACACAGACATAATCTCACCTCCTTTTTTCCTCTTTTCCTTTTTTCCTGTCATGTATAGTTTACTCCATTACCAGAGAAACACTAATGACTTTCCCACCTCTGTGAACGTGGTAGTTTCTGGTTGCTGGTGGTGACCGTATGCCAGTAGTTGTAAGTTCAGACAGCACTCTTGTTGAGGACCCCTCTGGGTTCCTTACACGCATTTAGATAACTAAAATGAGGCAAAATCAACTTCTGATTTAGTTTCAGTGCATTTCATAAATGTGGTTCTTTGGGTAGATAGATGGGTAGATACACTGCAAAAACTGTCCACCTAACCAAGTTTTAAAATCTTATATCCAGCCAAAAAGTCTTTTTGATCTTGTTTTGAGACTGATTTACTAAACAAGAACTGACTGTGTAAGAATAATAATCTTGTTTTCAGAATGTGTAAGATTATTTGTCTTATTAGTCTGAAATTTTGACTCAAATTAAGTAAAAAAATTTCTGCCAATGGAGTAAGAAATTTTTACTTGGTAAGACTCTTGAAATAAGAAAAAATTGAGTCAAACCAAGTATTTCAAGAATCTTACTAAGTAAAATTTTCTTACTCCATTGGCAGAAATTGTTGACTTAATTTGAGTCAAATTTTCAGACTAACAAGACAAATAATCTTACACATTCTGAAAACAAGATGATTATTCTTACACAATCAGTTCTTGATTAGTAAATTAGACTCAAAACAAGATCATAATGATTTTTTGGCTGGATATAAGATTTTAAAACTTGGTAAGATGGACAGTTTTTGCAGTGTAGATGTGTAGATAGGTAGATGGATGGGTAGATAGATGGGTACATGGGTAGATAGATGGGTATATGGGTAGATAGATGGGTACATGGGTAGATAGATGGGTAGGTAGACTGGTGGATAGATAAATAAGTACTGGTAAGTCAATCCTGGGCTGGGACTGACAAGTTCTCATGCAATTTAGCTACATTTAGCTTTCAGATATTGTTTTACTAACTTCAGCATTTAGCTGCAGCATTGCTAGTATCTTTTGCAGTTATCTTCTAATTTAGTTTAATTGAGAAATTTGGCTGACTTTTTTAAAGAGGCAATAAAAGTTTATAATTAAAACAAATACATTCATGTAGACAGTGCTCCTTCCTCCTTTCACTAGCTTGTTAACTCCCCATAAAACCTCCACATTCTAGTGTTAACAAAGCATTTATCACAAAGTTAAGCATATAAAAGTGAACTGAAACTTAGCTGTTTTTCAATCCGTCATACATTTGTAGCTCTGGAACATTAAGCTCTTATAGTAAGACTCTTCCAGAAGTAGGAAAAGCAGAGGCTACGTGGCCATGTGAAATTGTTGGTATGAACACAATGTTCCTCTGCAACATGTTGAGGCTGTCAGAATGATGAGCAGCACGTTGGAGGTTCCCGTGGCTGCAGCTACAGTAATGTGCCTCTTCTTCACTCATGATTCAGAGCAGCCAGCTGAATAACAGATGATCTTTTCCAGCCGTGACATTTCTCAGCCTTGTTTTGGCTGAAGGATATGTCAGAGATCAAAAGTGTCTCCGTGTGAGTAACTTTCCTTCACTGGTGACTAGACCTCAGTAAAAATGTCCAAATACACTACAAAAAGATGAGACACACAGCTTAAGCTGTCGAATAAAATGTTTAAATGATGTTCAGATTTGTAGTTTTGATGCTGTAATGTTTTTTATAAGGAAGGAAGGTAATTGTGCATCTTAAATTCCAGCTTTGTTTGTGGCTCCCTTTAGCTCAGTGACAAAAGCCTTGCCATCAAAAGCAGTGAAAATCAGATCAATAATGTCCTCATATTGCAAATAACCAATGATGATAGTGATTTTTTCAGAAAATATGACAGTTTAATCAACAAATTGTCAAGAAAGACACTGTTAATGTGCTATTATTTGCCTGACAAGCTCACTAAAACCCAAAGATTTCAGTTTATCTCATTAATAAATTAAACAGTCATGCTGATATAAACCACAGTGGAAAACTGTGTGCGTAAAAAGATAAACTCCCTTTAACAGGAAAAAACCTCCAGGGGAACCAAAACCAGACCCAGGATAGGGTCAGAGAGGACAGGAAAGAGACCTAGACAAACACAGAATGACAGGAATCAAACAAATCTCTCTGATTTCTCACGTAACTTATTTTGTCACCAATTGTCCGCCTTTGTTCAGTCTGGTTTTAAAAGCACTGCAGTCTGATTATTATTTTTTATATTGTTTAAAAATAACAAATAAAAAGCACATTTTCACTTTACACACTGTTAAGCCAATACTTTAATTTTTTTACTAATGTGTAGACAGAGATTTTATCCCAAATAGTTTGAGTGCTGGTTAGTGTGTGATGCTCAGAACGGCAGATTGCGACAAAGTGAAGATTCAGCGCAATTTGCGCACTTCCTCAGATAGCTAACTTTTACTAATTGGCATTTTATAATGTATAAACATTTTTGTGCAATGTCTTGTGATGGTTTTTGTTGCAAATGGGCTCTTCGTGGCTAACTGAATTCCCTTTTCTCTTGTTTCAGGTCGAATCTGGCTCGATAACGTGCACTGCACCGGTGGAGAGAAGAGCCTGGCTCAGTGTGAGTCCAACGGCTTCGGGGTTTCTGACTGCAAACACTCAGAAGACGTCGGGGTGGTCTGCTCCCAGAAGCGTATTCCAGGCTTTAAGTTCATCCAAAACCAAGCCAACAGCGTGGAGGTAAGGTCCCAGCACACCCACAGTGAATATTGCGATATACAAAGTGTTCACACTGTCACATAAATATCAGTTCACACATGGTTCAAGTAGACACATGAAATATGTACAGATGCTCTCTTCATTGAGTATCGGCTTTGGATGAAAGAAAAAAGTTATCTCTGTGAAACTGCTCCAGCTCTCAAACTGACTCTTCAAACCCTTCCAAGTCTGCTAACAGGAATTGGCTTGAACTATTAAGGTGCGTTAAGTGTCTCATCTTGTTAAAACTGCGAGTGTTTACTTGAAAACAAATATTGAGTAGCTTGAACAAAAAGCAGCTAAACTATAAACACAAAATTAAAGTCAAACATTATATCGGCCTTTGCATATTATGCATGTTTTATTGCTACCCATTTTACAGAAATCTGCCATAAAGACTACAGTCCTACAGTGTTACAGTGTCCCTGCCCACACCAGACCCCCAGTCTGCAGCCGGGGAGATTTCAGAGATGACTCAGAGGGCAGGAAAACCATCCTGTCTGGGTGCAGAGAACCGGATGGAAAGTCAGGCGTGTGGGCATGTGAACGTGACAGGGAGGATGGGGAGGGCAGGAGAGGACATGGAGGCATTCCTTCTGCTCGTCTGCAAACAAGTTATTAAAACAAGGTGCTGCAGAGCGTTTTCCATTACGAATTAATGACTTAGCTAAAGGAAGGTGAGTTTGGCGGTTTAGAAGGGGCCAGTATGTTCTCACTGCATTCATACCAGAGCTTCGTGTTTATTTATACTTGACAGGGGGCGGAATTAGCTGAGTCACACCAGGACAGCACTTTTTTTTTGACTGGATTCTGTTAGGATGCCTGAGTAGAACATTTATTGAAAAAAAAATGTGTTTACTTTTCCACTGCAAAGTTCAGCACTGGGCATGGAGGAGATGAGGAGAGGTGAAATTAAAATGAGCAATGTGTGCTGCTGAACACTCTGCATTTATTCCTGAGTTTTATAGCTTGTATATTTAGGTAACACCTTCATGTTCCGTGTTTGTTCTGAGTTTTTAGGGTTTCTGGTGTGTTAGGGCAGTTCAGTCTGCCACCCTGTAAATACTTCCTTGGTTCGGCCAAAGTCTTTCAAGTCACGGAGCAGAGGAAGAGAAAAAAGGTGTAGCTAATCTTTGGCATTGCTTGAACTGACAGCAGCAATGGGCAACTCTGTTCCTGCGACCTGTTTATTCACAGCATGAATTAGCATTTTGTACCTGGAATGTTAGCAGTCAGCTGTGTAAATACAGTTAAATTTCCATAGATTTTTACCACAATTTACATTTTACCTTATGGAGTACTAATCTTAAAGACTTTTTACAGGCTTCAAATTTCATAAATGCAGTCTTTAGTGACATTTTTGTGTATTTTCCGTTAGTTTTCTGTAGATCCTTGTGTTTTTCCATTCTGTGACATCTGTCAGTCTTTGTTTTAGTCCCGCCCTAACTCACCTGCTCCTCATGTCTCCTCCAGGTGTTTCTCATTTAACCCTCATTAATGTGTCATCATATTTAATCTTTTGTCCTCTGTTCATTTATTGTGCTGTTTCCAACCCCAGCCCGTGTGCTGCCACGTCAGCACGCTTTATTGTTAATAAACAAGTCTCTTTGCACATGTTCTGGAGTTTTGCCTGTTCTCCTGGTCCTGCCTCAAAAAGCTCGAATAAAGATTTCATTTCGCCAAAGTTTTCTTGTAGAAAAATATACCGTATTTTAAGATGTTTTAGATATTTTTGAAATGGGGTTCTGTGGAAAGATTATGAACACCAACTATCTTACCCGTTTTAGATGGTCCTTCAACAACCTCAGTTTGAAAAAAAAAAGTTATATTATGATTGAATTGGTAGCTAATGAATAGTCTAAGCAAGGCCAAGATCAAAGAGGAATGCTGTTGTCTTAAAACAACTTAAATCCAAAAACAATTAAAAATAAAAATCATATCAGTTTATGCAAATATGAACTTAATGGTTATGGTGCGTTCACACCGAACGCGATTTCAGCTTCAAAATCGCAGCCAACGCTGAAGTCTGAAGCTTGTGCACTTTGAGGTCAGACGCAGGACAGTTGTTGAAGCGCCGCACGGCGACAGCCGCCCCGCCCCTCCCTCCTCTGTCGGGCTCCGTTTAATGTCGGACGAGGAAGTGGCTTTGCTTTATTTACAGACAGCCAGAACGTGTCACGTTCATCAGATAATTAATTCATAATTAATTCACCAGATAATTCAGAGAAGAGGCTCACAGCTGCTTTCAGGACTATTTTTTTCAGTCTGATGAGTCGCTGTCACGCATTGCTGCGGATCAGGACACGACTGCAGGCACTCATTTTAGCGAAAGAGCTCCGCTCCGTCTGTTTCAGGTTAGTGGACCTCATTCAGTAAACTGTCCCGTCGGGAAATATGTCGCTACGTCACACAGTGGAGTCTCTCTGATTGGTTGACGCTGCGCGTCGAGCTGCAAAAGTTCAGATTTCCCAACTTCAGCGATTTGGACGATTTGGACGATCTGAGCGTTCGACGCTCAGATCGTCCAAATCGTTCAAATCGCGCTGCTCTAATCGCGCTTGAGGCGCCGCAGAACTTCCCGACGTTGCTTGAAGCGCGTCCACCATAGACTTTGCATGTAAACCTGCTGCTCCTGACGCTGAAATCGCGTTTGGTGTGAACGCACCATTATACCCCGCCCCTCGCACTGTGACTGCTGGATATGGGCACCAGTGACCCCCGTTACCCTGAAAGGAAGAGGCGGGTATAGATGATGGATGGATGGATGGATGGATGGATGGATGGATGGATGGATGGATGGATGGATGGATGGATGGATGGTTGCACCACCATTAATTTTGCATTATACAATTATTCCAGCTGAAGTAAGATATACCGACAGTATACTGAAAGTGTCCCAAGATGCACCAGATGTGCTAAAGTTAACTGCTGCTGCTATTTGCTCTGGTAAATAACCAAAGATTTTCTTCATAAAAAACTTTGTATAAACAACAGCTATATCAAAGTTTATTAAACTGCTCACTGTAGAATTATTATTATTATTTTTTGATTTGGGTTGTGTTACAATGATAACTTTTGTCTTGGTTCTGCTCAGACTAGCCTTTAGTTCATCAGTTTAGTCAGAATAAAACTATCTTTTCAACTTGAGGTTGTTCAAACAGCTATCTACAGCATGTAAGATATTTATGGTTTATACAGGACTGCATTTATAAAAATGTGAGGTATCCCTAACTGACCTAGCCTGACCCTTGCCTTCCTACGCAGTTCCGCTCAATTCTAGTTTCCCTTCATGGGTCTGGTTTTTACCAGGCTATAACTGACCCTAAACAGGAATTTAAAAACTAGTAGTTGCATAAATAAGAAATCCCCTAAAGAACAATATGTTAAAGTTGCATTTAAAAAAATGTTATTTATACTCCAAACATGTTCCTACAAATTCACTTGTAACATCACTGCATTATTTCTGTATCTGAGTCATTGTCATAAGTAAAGTTAATTACTTTAATACGCCACATCTGATGCTCCCCACTAATCCTACAACATCCACTAGTATCTGTTTAATTGTACAGAGTAATTTGTTCTTATTTTCTTAGTTTAACCCAGCGGAGAGTCATTGTTATGTCTGATTGTTTCTTCCAGAGGGATCAACGTTTGTCACACGTGACAGATGTGGTGGCCACATTCATTAAATCGGGCCTATTTGTTAGCAGAGCTGAACACTGTAATGACAGAAAACTTTATTAATTCTCACTGAGTTGAAAGGATGCACCCAGCTTGTGACTGTCATGATGTTTATGTGAGAATAGCACAGTAAAGAATGTGAAGTGCTATTCTGGGATGATGAGAGTGTTATGGTACAAGTTAGATTGGAGTCATTCTGGGACAGTGTTGTTGCATTTTCCAGACTGTTTGCACCGCAGTTTAAATGTGTGATCGTTGTGTAACACTGCTGTTCTGTGCCAAAAAGAAAAATCCAGGAAAAAACAAAAAACAAAGATTAGTCCACATGGCTAAAACATTTGCCATTATTATCATTGTTTATGCTCTAGAAAAATCTGTTTCTAGATGAAGACATCTTTAGAAGAGACAGAAAATTATGTTTCTGAAGGGACAAAGAAGAATATGAGTCACAAAAACAGCTGCAGTTTAACTCCAGATCGTTACCAGTGTTTACTCCAACAAAACAACTACATCAGGAACCATTACATCGTTGTAAAACACCAGTTGTTTTAACAAAATGCAGCTGTTGGAAGCCTTTTGTTGTATTTATTAAACCAGAACTGTTTAACAGAGTCTACACATGCATACGTTGATTCTCAGGATCTCATTTCCTCGCAGCCTCTGCAAACAACAAAAAGAAATCTGAGCCAGAGCTGGACCTGCCCTGAGAACCATGTATGCAGGAAGCTCATGAGGATAAGAGCGTTTGAGGGGAGAAAATGATGATTTATGTCAGCAGACTGAGCTCAGTTCCTCCTGTGTAGGACAGGATCAGACTGCTGCACCACATGTTCAACAGCTGGATCCTCTTGAGGCTTTAATCACATTTTTTTGTGAGTCACATTACCTGAGCTGAAGGATTTTTAACTTGAACATTTTTGATTTAATACCCTCACAATGTGCTCATTTCATAAATCGGAGTTATGATTTGTGAACATCACGTTTGATTCAAGGCTTTGGGATGATTTTTGCAAAACTAGAAACATAGAACTTTAAAATGTTAGGTAAAAACAGGAAGTCATGCAGCTGTGCACATTAGATTAGCTAGGATTTGAGTGGATTTATTTAAAAACTGCACATTTTAGTGTTACGGCTAGTTCTCTGAGACAATTCTGCATAATGACACATAAACCTTAGACTGTGCTTTGTGTGTTCAGGACAAATAAGATGCAGTGAGCATTAGATTATTTTATTCCACGGTAATCTCTCCAGCCTGGTTGTAGCTTCACGTTTTAACAGACATTGCACTCCGTTGTGCTGAAGTTAGGTAATCTTTGTCTGAAAAGAGTTTTTTTTTCTTTTCGCTGCCACAGTGGGAGCAGCAGGCTCTGATAGATATTCCAGATGTGCGTCTCGTCATCTGTCAGGTCTGTTTGCTGAAGCTGGTGAGGCTGCAGAGAAAGTCATATCTCAGTTGTTTTTCATCCAAACTGATGCTGATTGGCCTTCATTCTTGTTAAGTTTTGTAAAATGTGGGCGGGCAGAAGGTTAGTCTTTTTTTTTTTTTTTTTTTTTTTTTTGCACGTGCTGGTGAACGTGCATCGGGCTGTGAATAAAGTGGAAGAAATGCAGAGTAGTGGAAGCATTAGTCACACACTGGCTAGACCACAGCCTCATGTTCACACAGCTATGTTCTGGGCGGGAGAGAGACCCCCGTCAGGAAAGTAAGTCGGGCTTTCATTTGGAAAGAGTTCAGTAATTTAGCAGAGCTCACTTCAGAGAGAAGCACTGTAATGATCTGTTTTCTTTTTTCTCTCACTCACCAACAGAAATATTTCTTTAGGATTAAAGGCATCTGTACAGTCTCAGGGTCAGTGAGGTACAGTAAGATGAGGTAAATGTTCAGAAATGTTCTTTGGAGAACTGGCCTCAGCTTGACCTGACATAAACATGAAATGCATTTTTGTTCAGACTTGAATACGAAGAATGAGACCAAAAAAGTTACTGTTCAATTCTAACTTCTTTTTAGTATTTTTAAATAATTTGTTGGCAGAGACTGGCTGCAGAAGCAGCATCTTCATTTAATTATGAGCAAGTTTGATCTTTTCATTTGAACTTAGTGTAGTCAAACTCAAAAGATATACTGGTGTGTTGACACAAAACAGACAACTTAGCAAAATAATCATTTAAAAAAAGATCTTTAGGCTCTGGTTCTGCTTTATTAGTTGACCAAAGACAACAGTCTGACACACAAAATATTTTTTACCACTAACAAAGTGATTCCCTATGAGATGAAAATTGCTCACCTGAAGGATGGTGAATTTCTCAGGTCTTTTCTGGATTTTTTTTTTCTGTTTTCTTAAAGACAAAGCTGCACATACTGGTCATCCTCTGTAGATTTTGTTTATTTTTTTCAAATCTGACACTTTTTCACCTTTTTAATCACACACTGTGTAATATTTTGTCACAATCAGGGACAAAGACTGAAGAGATGTCCCCCAGCCAAAAATAAAAATAAAAAAACCTGAAAGACTTTCAGAAAGAGTGAAGAAATATTGATCAAAGCTTCTTTGGGACAAAGATTTTTCACAACTTTAATGAGAATCAGCATCGTGTCTCTTTGTTCTTCTCTCTGCAGCTCAGCAGAGCTCAAATCTGAGTTTGTACGTCTGGGTTGCAGCCGAACTGTATAATGATGAGTCTACGTTTGATGGTCAGAGGTCTGGGAGGCTGCTGGACTGATCCCAGCTGTGCAGATCTGTGCACTTCTCTTCTGTCTCTCATTCAGTTTCCTCTCCCAGAGCCAAAAACAACACAGCTCAGACCCAACTCAGCGCCTCGTTTAAACCAACCCCACACCTGTCTTTTTCCTCTTTTCATTTTTGCTTTTTATTCCTTTCATTCTTTAATGCAACTTTTATATTAGAACCCTCCACACAGAAGGAGAAAAAGAAAAAGAAAACATTAAATTGAGAACACCGGCTCTGTGACCATGAGCACGTTTCCCTACCTCCTCACCCCGCCAGGCACAGACGGAAAACACTCTGTCCTGCTCAGCTTGCAAGAATCCCTTCATGACAGAGTAGTTTTTTTGCTCGCTGTAACCGCTGTGGTCAGTGGGCGGTTCTGGGGTCACTCCTAAAACCCCGGAGACTCCTCCTGCACTGCGGTCTTGAAGGCTGAGAGACCCTGAAGCCTTGAACATTCCTTAAGGCTGACGCCATCTCAGGAAGCCACTCAGTGGGCAAACGATTAATATACTGGCCCTGGACCTTTTTTTTTTTTTGGAGGGAAAGTTAAAGAAACTGTCTATTATAAAAAGGAGTGAAGTCAGCATTTATAAATCACAAAGCATCTCAGAGCTTGGGCTGATTTTGGCACCTGTGGTACAACTTCATACCCATTCAGGAGCAAACGGCAGCTTTTGGCTCAAACGAACAATGGCAGAGTTATTAGCTGTGCTCCAGAGGTCAGAGGTAACCAATCCTTCTTGATTTAGAGCACAAGATGCTGATTGTGAGCTTTGTTTATCCACACTGTGAGCAGATGGCTCAACCTCACCTTTAAAAGCACAAAGAATCACCCGTAGACATTATATCTTCCAATTTCCTGAAACATACTCGCTTTTATATGTCTTTGTTTTTAAATTATTTGCTTTAAACCATCAAATGATCTCCTAATAGTGGTAAATTCCTTCCACTTTTCCTCAAAGATATCAGTTTTTTTCTCCATAGATTTCTATGAGCTGTGTTGCAAGAGTGAAAGTAGGAATATTTATTTGTGAAAAAAAAACAAAGCTGGAACTCATCTTTTAGTTGGATTTAGAAGACGTTTTAAATTTAGATTTTGCTCACAAACTCAATGTAATTAACTTCAGCTACGCTGCAGCAGGTTTAAATAGATCTTTAGTCACATTTGTCATCCTAAACTCTTTTGCGTTCAACATGTGCAAACTGTGGGTCCTACAAGATATTACAACAGCAGGATTTCTTCTTTTTTTTTTCTCCGTTCTGGAAAGGGTTTGCATTTCCCGCGAAATGAGTCATACAGGCTGTGTTGTATTTGTAATAAATCAGGTGGAGGATCTCATTTTTACAGAGTATGTAAATGAAACTGACTTGTCCTGTAAACAGCGTTTTCACTTTACAGGTTACATAACTTATTTATTCAGCAAACAGTGTTTCTGGATCATTTCTGCAAAGTTAGATACAACAAAAATTGGTTTGAGCTGCAAGTTTTGTTCCGCAGTTAAAAGTAAATCAGTGGGGGAGAGATTTCAGTGGGAAAATAGCTTCAGTGGAAGATTAGCCAATTGTTTCATTCTGGGGAAATATGATGATCTCATTTACCGTACTGGTTAACTTGACATCTCAAACGTAAACCACAGATGTGTAACCAAAAATATTATTAACACACATCCACACACAACATTACAAGAGCCTGGTCGTTAAAGGTCAACATTTTATGACTTCTTTCTCTTTGACAGCTTGACATTAATCAAGACAAATTATCAACAGGCTTAATGATCAGATCTAAAACTGTTCAGAGTCTGTAATGTGGAGACTTGATAAACACACATTTATCTTGTGCTGACTGACTAAAACATCCCTGACAACAACCAGAAACACACTCAAAGACATTTTCATCACATGCGACATGTTGATGAGAAGAATATGAAGCACAACTCTTCAAATAAAGGATTATTAGATGAAGAGGAGTCACAGTTTGGGTAAAAAAGTGTGCAGCAAGAAATAACTCATCCAGTAAAGTGGAGTACAAAGTTCCTGTTACGTAGTTAAATCCGTGTGCACCTAAAAGAAAGAAGCATCATGTTACAGTAAAGGGATCCATGATTAGTTGGAACATTGGACTTTATTTAATAAACACATATTTTAACTGTAAAATAAAGAGTGTAAAAATACTGTAGGATGTTTAGTTTTTATCATTTTTAAACTAAAAGTTTAAAAATATATTTTAACACGGATGGGGCCATTTAATTTACACGCAAAGCATTCTGGGTAAATGATGACATCGATAAGTCCTCGGTGCGAGCGAGCTATATCCATCCTGAAGGTTAAACTTGGACAATATCTGATGATCGACTCTTAAATGAAAGGTAGAAATGACTCAGCCTGTAACTATTTATTATTATTTATGAACTATTTTTTAAAATTTACAAAACTAAACAGCCTACAGTATTTTTACAGCCTTTATTTTACAGTTAAAATAAATGTTTATCAAATAAAGTCTAATGTTACAACTAATCAGGGATCCCTTTAAATCAACTGTAATTAGTGATTTTCACAATTTGAACTGATGAAACCTCCTCTGTTTCCACTGTCAGGGTCTGACGGTGCAGGTGGAGGATGTGAGGATCAGAGCCACGTACTCGCACAGAAAAAGAATCCCCATCACTGAGGGCTTTGTGGAGGTGAAAGATGGAGGCAAGTGGAGGCAGATCTGTAGTGAGGACTGGACACAAATGAACAACAGGGTCGTCTGCGGCATGTATGGCTTCCCCGATGAGAAAAACGTCAACGTCCGACCCTACAAGTGAGTAACAGCTGGTTTCACTCTTTAAATGTTGGTAATAAATTACATAAAAGGTTTCCAGACAGGTTAGACTTTACCATTTCCCTTTTGAGTTGCTCTGTAGTATAAATACATATAAAGACTCCCTTTAAACATCACACCTTAACGATGTGTAATTGGAGGTTCACCACACACACTTTTATGACACAAAAGCTCTTTATGTTAAAAATATTGCACTTTACGGGAAGTCCCTCAATCTTTTTTGTTGTTTTTTTGGTTTCAGCCAGTTAAGGAATGCATATCCCAGACCAAACAGACGTTAGGAAACATTACACAACCATGTTTGTTTACTCTAGTCATCGCTCGCCCCTTCATGTATTTTCCACTCTGAGATCTAGCAGATCTGGCCCTGCAGAATTCCTGACAGGATTCCAAAAAAAAAATGACACGAGGAAGTTTCAGCAAGGCCAGGACGGTGAAATGGTTGAGTGCACTACAATCTGAACCGGTGGCTGCTTTGAGGTTTGATCTGTTTGTGTCTGTCTGCTGACATGGGAACTGGAGTCAAACAATTATACGACCAGATCTCACACCCAGCTGCAGCCCAGCAAAACCTCTCCGTACAAAAACACTTAAATCATGACCTGAGAGATAGCAAAGCAGATTTTCCTACCAAGTGCTGTCAGTCAAATGAACGACTCTTCACATTGCCAAGTTTGCATATTCATTCTTTGGACTTTAGTAGGAAAATTTATAAAATGAGAGGATTTAGACCAAGTTTGATAAACAACATCTTGAATTTATGGAAAGTAAGTCCAATAGAGACCCCGCCACTACTCAAATATCTGAAATATTTTATTGCTAAAGTCCCCCAGAAACAAACCATGGACCATCTCCTCAAACCTTTCAGTGGCAAAAGTTCTTCCATTTTTTACAGTGATTTTATATCATGGCCCCTCGACAAGCCTCAAGGCTTTAATTGAAGTTTCTTTCATTTTTAGCTCAAACTGTTTCGTCCAAGACTCAAAGTCTTCTGCTGTTGGCTTTCTCACTGACCCTTGGTTGATGACTTTCATTCAAGTATGAAGTCTGGTCATAGCTTAGGAATTCCCAAAACATTACTTCCATTGTTCTTCACAGCAGATGGATATGCACGGCTGACTCAGTGGGGAAGTTTCCCAAAAACTTATAAAACGGAGCTTTAATATTTTATTTGAGTATTAAGAAGAGTGTTTTAAATATTTGACACTTTATCTCTCCTCAGGTTGCTGGCCAAGCGTCGGAAGAAGAACTACTGGGGTTTCTCCGTCAACTGCACGGGCAACGAGGCCGACCTCTCTGACTGCAAACTGGGCCGGCAGATAGAGCTGAAGGGCAACAACACGTGCAGGAAGGGCATGCCCGCTGTGGTCAGCTGCTTACCTGGACGGGCCTTTGCTCCGAGCGTCAGCGCCGGTTTCAGAAAGGCCTACAGGGTGGAGGTGGGTCCGATTATCTCTGTGCTGTTCACTCTGCGTGGTTAGCTGTGGCAACTTCTCAGCAAAACTGAGCTTTCAAACTTTTTGTGATTTTCCTCAATTTAAACTTCTTATATTCACTTAATTATAAATAAATTAAAATGAACATGATTGAGGAAAGCTGATGTGTTCCATATACAGAGAAGTTGGATTTTTCTCAGCTCTTTCATGGTCCGGTTTAAGAAAACAACTGCAGTATTTTTTTTATTAATCACTTGGTGGGTCTCTGCAGCAACCTCTGGTGCGTCTTCGAGGCGGAGCGATGATCGGCGAGGGCCGAGTGGAGGTGCTGAAGAACGGCGAGTGGGGAACCATTTGTGACGACAACTGGAACATCAGGGCAGCCACGGTGGTGTGTCGAGAGCTGGGCTTCGGCAGCGCAAAGGAGGCTCTGACTGGTGGCAGAATGGGCCAAGGTACCCGCAGACCTCTGACACGTGACGTGACGCAGCACTGAGGACTGAAATTAGGACTGCAAATATAACTGATGATAGATTTAAAAACGTGTTCCAGACAGAAACAAAATGATTCAACTGTTTATGTTTTAGATTTCTAAAATGTGTTTAAAAGGATTTGCCAAGTTTTTAAAGGATATGAAAAAAGCTCCAGTGTGTAGAGATGTAGGTAAAATAAAAATACATTATTGAAAGAAAAACATTATTTTATGATAAATATGGGATCAAATTGTGTTTATGAGGGGTTTTAAAATGGCCAGTAAAGTTAATGTGAGGTTATGGGATAAACAAAATACTTCTTTTTTCTTTTATGTATAATTTTTAGGCTTCATTTGCTTTGTATTGATCACTCTAGGATAAATACAAACACAGATGAAAATAAACTGTTGGCTGATTCCCCCCACACGTCCTCAGACCCTCTGAGGGATAATTACACACATGGACAGCTGTGAAAATGAAAGGTGCTGACTGAAGTTGAGTCCTGAACATCCACCTTACCTTTGGCATCTGTAGCGCCACCTGTTTTTGTCTCACAGTCAGTCTAGACCTGAAGTCAGCACAGAAAGGCTTTAAAGAACATATGGACTAGAACAGTGGTGTTTGTACTTTGGACCAAGCCCTGGTTCTCTGTAATATAATACACCACACTTTCATAAAGTTCACATGGTTGTTGAAAAAGTTGTCTTTTTTTCCCCCCTTCCATCTAAGCCTTATTCTCTGAGCAAAACAGAGCAGTGTACAAAATGTTCCCAGGAAAGAAAACAACCTTTATGGGGTTCAGGAGAGGAATTCTTTGCTGGAGAGTTGTTTGAGGACTTTCTTCACGAGCGAACCACCAGATCTAAAAATGGCACTGCACGCAGACTTGGACAAGTTTGATTGTTTTTGGAAGCCAGTGAACTGGACCGCGCAGGAATGTCAGTGAAGTGCCAGTCACAAACAGGCAGTTTCCTTGTTTCGACAGGCGAAATGTCAGAAACAGTGATAGATCAGCCATAACTTTATGAACATCTGCCAGATATTAAATGTTCCCTTTTTTTCTGACCATTCAGAACACGACCCAAAGAACATCTGGAGGGAAGTTTGTACAAACTATTGTGGAAACTCCTTTTTTATGAGGCCTCAGAGAATCACTTTTTATTTATTTATTTACTTATTTATTTAGTATTGTTTTTTAAATTACATTTCGTTTGAATATATTCTGGGGATAAAAGGGGCAGACGTAATAACATTTAATCTTCTTCTGCTACCTTTCATTTTATTTTGATTTGTGTATTTTCTTGGTTTATTTTTTATTATTGTATATAGTTATTTTTTAATAAAATGAAAAAAAAATTTCATTTTCATTTGTCATAGCTGACTGGTAATTTATTCCACTGTGTAACTATAGGACTCTGCAGTGGCCTCTGCAATGAGCAGTATAAAAGTGTCCTCCCAGAAACTTCTTTACCTTTTTAATAACAGAGATTTTACAGTTTGATGCTGCAGCTGTAGATTCAGAAGGATCACTGTTTTTTATGTGTTTGATGTGCACCTGTAGGAATTGGCTCCGTCCACATGAATGAGGTGGAATGCTCCGGGTTTGAGAGGTCTCTGACTGAATGCCGCTTTAACCGCGACTCGCTGGGCTGCAGCCACGAGGAAGATGCTGCCGTAAGGTGTAATGTTCCTAAAATGGGCTTCAARACTCGAGTAAGTCACTCAGTGTGCCGTACACAACAGCAAATACATTTCAAACCCTGGATGTGATATTTATGGCTTCACCTCTGTCCTCAGCTTCGGTTAAGCGGCGGCCGTAACTCTMACGAGGGCCGAGTGGAGGTCCTGGCAGAGAGGAACGGCTCTCTGGTGTGGGGCACCGTGTGCAGCGACAGCTGGGGAACCATGGAGGCCATGGTGGTGTGCAAACAGCTGGGACTGGGGTTTGCCAGCCACGCTTTCCAGGTAATGATTCTAAACCAGCTTTTCCTTCCAGCCAGACGTGCAAACATAAAACCGTTTGTAGGATGTGAGAGAAAATGATGCATTAAGCAAATAGTTCTGACATAAAACTGGAAATCCATATTTGTCCTCCACCTCTAAGTTTGAGGAGCTCATAAATATTAGGTCTACTCTTAAAAAATCCACTTGAATGGAATGACAACAGAACTTCAGGACCAAAAAGAACCAGTCCTTTTTTATTTTTAACTTTATTARCAGGTCAGAGATTTGAAAACTTGGCTAAAAGCTGTTTGTAATTAAAACTCCTTTTGAATAAAAGTTAAAATTTAATACGTGATTGAGCAATTAAAAAATYAGGAATTTTTATTTCATACTAATAGACTGCAGGTTTCAAAATTTACAACATGGAGGATGCACAACAACCACTACAGCTAGTTTAGTTTTAATGTCACAAAGCTTTATTATTTTTAATTAAAGCCATAATAGATTTTAAAAATGTGCAATTTTTTTCAATAGTCATGTAGATTTTATGTATGTGTATCAACCAACTTATGAAATTTGTTTTATTACTAATAAAAGTTATARATTTSATCAATTTGTTAACATTACAGAATGTAAACACCTAAAGGAGGCTTTCAGGTGATTTTTTTAAAATTTCATCTTCAGCGTAGATGTCTTTAATTTTTTCATAAGTTGGCATAAGTTGTCTAAAACGTCATAGTTTGACAGGGCCTTACCAAAGGTCTGTCACATAATTTGTATAATAATAATAATAATAATAATAATAATAATAATAATAATAATAATAAGCAAAACCAGCAGAGGGATGTTCTGTTGCCAACAATTTCAAGTTTTTTGTTTACATTTGTACATTAACAAGTACACTTTAGACCATCTCGATGTGTGACAGATGTCAAGTCAGTAAAATAATCCCTGGATGTGAAAAGAGAAGTCAGGTCAAAAACAAAAAAAATAAAGTTTTTTACTCCTTCTGGGGAAAATAACCAGTGACTAAAAGCTGTAAGGATGAGTGGACAGAAGGAGTCAGATGCAGACGTTTTGGCTAAGATCAAACTTTGAGGAATTTCCAGAAGTGATGGTCAAATTTAGTTGTAAGGGCAGAAATATTTGCTGTCTTCAAACACAATTTCTATAAAAACCCTAAAACGTTTGAGTTACATTAACGCCCCTCAACCAATCATTTAATGATATAGAAACTGTTTTAGGATAAATCTTCCAATCAGTGACAAATTGCACATTTTTGACAGCTTTTATGGTTTTAATGATCTTTAAGTTTGAAGGGATGAAAACAGCAGCCCTCTYAAATAAAACAAGAAAATTACATGTAATTTGAATATGTGATCAAATCACTTGTATATGAGATAATTAAACCCCATAAAGCTAAAACTTAAGGAGTATCATTGCATGTCATTGTTTTTACTAATATTTGCAGACACTGTGTGTCAACAGTCTGATGGACTGAAGTCACCTGGTATTCTGTGTATTACATTGGTTTAAATACAAATGCAATACTTTTTTTCAGCGTATAAAAATATATTGACATCAAGAGGATAAGATCAGTTCAGCCTCGAAATGTTTTCCAGTTTAAAGCTTGTTTATAAATGTGTGGAAGTGGGAATGGGTGCTATTACCCTCGAGTTTTATTTATCCTAGAGGGCAAAAATAAAGATGTCATTTGCTTAGAAACTTCCAAAATAGACAGAAAACAGAAAAATCCAGTTAGAGGAGGTGACTCTACCACCAAACATTCCTCCTGCTTATATGATGCTATTCTAAGGCGCTTGGACTTTATGGTTTAGGATTGTATACATGTGGAAAGTATGACTCATCAGGTGGTCTGTTAATGACTGCAGGGGGTTTAGAGTAGAACCTGGACTGGATCTGATAATGGCTATTTACATGATGAATGTCAGGTCAACACTTCTGTCCTAAAAACACGTCTCTAACACCACATTTAGTAAGTTCTCATCACATAAAGGTTTTCATGTTAATAATACTGTACAGTAATGTGGTTTGTGGACCTCCTCGGACCATCTGGAGACTCTGCTGACTTACTCATAAATAGTTCTCCAGGCAAACCCCACCACAGATGGAACAAATGACAGCAGAGCTTAAACTACACTTCACCGTGTCTGTCCCTCTACTTAGACCACCATCAGACCCCACCACCACCAGTTCACCTTCATTTACATCCTACACTTCCTCAGAGGACGATGGAAAGTCTGAGTGTTTCCCTCACATAAGATTTCCCTTTGGTCTGCAGAACTGTGCAGTAAGGCTGAGTCAGCACTGTGTGAGATTTTCACATGGCACGTCTTTAAATTAAACTTTAATCAAATGTTCAGTTCGCTGTTTAAAGGTGGAGTTTGTTGAAACCATCAGTCCCCCCCCCCCTTTATTTTAATGCTGATCTCAAGTTGTATAACAGTTTCTTTCTTTTTTTATATATAATTTATTAGGAGACGTGGTACTGGCAAGGAGACTCATCGTCTGATCCTGTGCTGATGAGCGGTGTGAGATGTTCAGGAACTGAGCTGACTCTGGATCAGTGTCTGCATCACGGGAAACACATAAGCTGTCCTAAAGGAGGCGGACGCTTTGCTGCTGGAGTTTCTTGTACTCAGAGTAAGAAAAAGCTCATTTCAAACTCTTTACTTCAAATATTTTTAGACTTTTTAAATGATGGGGAGTATAAATTGTATTGTAAACATTCAGTTTGATGGGTTTTTTTTTCATCACCTGCTGCTCTCCCCCTCACAGCGGCCCCAGACCTGGTCCTGAATGCTCAGYTTGTGGAGCAGACCACGTACCTGGAGGACAGGCCCATGTACGCTCTGCAGTGTGCCCAGGAGGAGCGCTGCCTGTCCAGCACTGCTGACAAAGCAGARTCCAGCTCCTACCGCCGCCTCCTCCGCTTCTCCTCGCAGATCCACAACAACGGGCTGTCAGACTTCAGACCGCGGGCGTCGCCTCAGTCCTGGGTCTGGCACGAATGTCACAGGTGGGACGTCAACACAGCCTGGAAGTCCAGCTTTTCTCCACAGATCTTGATGTGAAGCTACTAGACATGTTTATTTAACGAATACGGTGGTTGCTTGATGATTAAACACTCTTTCCCTGTATGGTCCAGACATTACCACAGTATGGAAGTTTTCACCTACTATGACTTGCTGAGTCTGAACGGGACAAAAGTAGCAGAGGGACACAAAGCCAGTTTCTGTCTGGAGGACACTTACTGTGATGAAGGTGAGGACTGAGCATTACGTTATTCTTTAAGAGGAGATCCCATCTGAGCATGCTGATGTGAAATCTGTTCTAATTCAGGTATTCAGAAGAGGTACGAATGTGCAAACTTTGGCTCTCAGGGGATCACAGTGGGCTGCTGGGACACCTACAGACATGACATAGACTGTCAGTGGATAGACATTACAGACCTGAAGCCTGGAGACTACATCTTCCAGGTCTGTTTAGTCCTTTGTTCCATTAGATTCCTTTGGAGAAAAAAGCCTCACCTGACTGTAACTATAACTGTAACTATAACTGTCAGCTTGCACACCCCCTCGGATCATGCCTGTTTTTTCCTGCAATTCTGTATTTTTCTGCATGGTGTCTTGCTTTTATTTTTCATTTTTATCTAATTTCATCTTGATAGTCCGGTACAGTAATTATTATTCCTATTTTTATTTTGATCAATGTTTATTTTTTATTGTTACTATCTTTAACTCTATTATTATTGCTACAGTTGATAATGTCACATAGCAATATGCTGTTTCTGTGGATTGATGTATCTGCNTTTCTATATTAATATGATACAATTTAATTGTTTTTATTTGTTACTATCTTTAACTCTATTATTATTGCTACAGTTGATAATGTCACATAGCAATATGCTGTTTCTGTGGATTGATGTATCTGCTGCTGCTACTACACCTGAATTTCCCCGCGCGGGACAATAAAGGCCGTTTCTGTAGACCTAACAGTTAACACATCTGAGCAGGAATTACTAAACTTACTCATAGACAAACTGAATCTCCTTTTGTAGCTAAATTAATTGATTTTTAATGTTTTTTCTTGGAAATATTACGTTATTTTTAAGCCATGGTGGCAGCCTGTAGCATCACCGCTAACGCACTGTTTTTTTTTCCCTTTTCCAGGTTGTGATAAACCCAAACTATGAGGTCGCAGAGTCCGATTACACCAACAACATAATGAAGTGTCGCTCAAGATACGATGGCCATCGGATATGGACGTACAACTGTCATATAGGTGAGAACATATTGGAAAAATCCTAATTTCTCCCGCAGCAGAAATACAACATCTGTTCAAACATGTAGTTGTACTGTGTCCACTTTAAAGACAGCTCAGTCCAGGTTTTTAAATTCTGTGAATGAATCTAAATGTAAAATATTCTTACTACTGAGTAATTATTCTTCATGAATTCAGTGTATTAAATGAAATATTTGGATAAGAAAAACAAAACTAAATGTCAAAGACTTTCATGGCTGTTTTTGATTAAAATGCCTTCATTTCATGACTAAATCTTTTAGATCAATGAAAAACAAATCCAACGTGTTTCAGCACAAATACYTTCAATTCACTCCCTGAAGATAATTCTCTTGAAACCTTTGAGTTTCTTGATTTATAACATCTTTATTTAGTTATCTTGTAGCTAAAAACAATGTTTAAATTGTGTATTTACACAAAGATACAGGTTTTACTGAATTTGACTTTTTTAACGGTACTAACAATTTTCTGAATTTACAGGAAGTGATGTTCTCTTCTCAAACCTATAAAAAATCCATATTCTCATAAAACAATCAACATTTAGAACCACAGAAACTTTGGAAATTATTAGATGTACAAAGTAGTTTAATTTGTTTGCATACAAACGTTGTACTTCGACACAACAGAAGAAAATATTCTTGGGAAAAATGTTCAGGAAAAGTGTTCAGTGCACATATTCATATTTTTAAATACAAATCCTCCCAGTGTTTTAAATGACAGACATTTAAAAAAAAATAAAACACTGTTAAATCTGTCAAAATGACTTGAACAAATAAAAAAAGTCCCACACTGTGAACTGAAAAAACTGAACTTTGTTCACTGTAGTTCTTTCATAAAAAAAAAAATCTTAACATTACAAACAGCCACATGTGGAACAGATCAACCAAACCCTGAGAATATCTTGCAGAAAAATGTAATGTTATTGAAAAATAATAAGTTAATACTGTAGAATTATGCAGAACATCTGGCTTCACCTGGCAGTGAGCAAACAGCAAAAAGATGTGGAAACCAGCCAGAGGTTTAAATATAACGCAAAACAATTCAGTTCAAGAAACGTGCAAAAAATAACTAAGCTTCCTTGTTTCAGAACCACTGGAGTCATCCGAAATATTAAATCTATTAAATGTTTCTTGAATTTAGAGTCCGATCTTCTTTGTTAGTGATGCTAACAGTGAAGTAAATGGAGACTCTAAATGATGAAGTGAAGTTTGTCACTGCAGTCGCTCCTCAGAGGAACAGGATCTGTCACACACAGAACAAAACAAAGTTTTATCACACCACAGCGACTCCTCAATGTTTAGTGCAGAACTTCTGCTTTTTTTGTTGCAGTTTTTATTTAATGTTTCTGTCTYACATCACAGGTGGCACGCTGAGTTCAGACGTAGAGGACACGTTTCCTGGACTGCTGACCAACCAGCTCTCACACAGGTAGAACTCCCTGAAGGACTGAGCTCATGGAGGAAAATATTCATGTTTGACAACCACTAGAGGGAGCTGTGTGAGAACACCGGTACAATAATGGCTCAATAGGGTGAACTGCTTGCTTTGTAAAGGTTTTTAACAGATTTGTGTCTTTTAATGTTTCCTGCCTTTGTTAATTAGACCTGGTGCTAAGAAATGCAGTAAGGACTGTAACCAAAAAATGTTGCTCAGCTAATCCAACAAGTGCCTTTTAAACAAGTTGGAGAGTGAATGAGACCAAAAATAAGACGTGGCCATATTCCTGAATAGATGCGTTGACTTTGGATGGATGAAAACAGTCTTCTGTTAAATCTGGTGGTAGAACTGGTCAGATTTTTTTGCACTGAATGTTTTTAAAAACAGATATCAGATTTTAAACAGTAAACGCCTGGTTTATATTTTTACTGCAAATGTGTTCACTTTTACAATATAAAGAACTGAAATAAGGTTTAGATTTTTCTGGTGCTGAATGGATCTGGTTCCTGCAGCGTTTCGGACCATCTGAGAAGACTTTTCAGTCACAATTTAAACATTTGTTTGTTTTTTGTGTGTTCCCCAAATATGTTTGTTTTGAAAAAATGTTCTATTTATTATATGTTCTACTTTTTAATCTGTACGTCCCATCTACTCTTTTCTCGTCGTCTTGAGTTTTGTTAAATTATTACCATCAGGGACTATGAAAACATTGTGGGAGTACTGTAACAGCCACACATGTATGTGAAAAGGCCTCTTTGTGGGTTTGTAAATTAGTCTGAATGTAGCAGTTTAAAGTTTTGGATGCTGAGGTGAATGTGGAAAAGTGTTGCATTTTTAAATAAAATATGATCAAAGCAAAAAGTTTCTTTAATGCTTCATTATGATAAAATACTGTCAGGCATTCTGATTAAACACACAGCTGGTGGTACTCTGCCTAAAGCCCCCCACACACTCGGGCGTACTTCGCTCAGCGGAGGTCTGTGTCGACTCGAAGCGGCCGTCCACTGGACTGGTCTGCGCAGGGATCCCTTTTTTACATCCACGTTCGCGGTGTCACATAAACTGCCTGACGAGTACAGCTTTGGARGCAACACCAAGCTGATAAAGTTGAGAATCGGTGTCATATGTGGAACAAATGGAGTCAAATTTTGAAGAGCGTCTCATGGAGGAGATTAGAAAACTAAGGATTATAAAGACTTTCAGTGAGCAACAAATTTGTGGGAGGAAATAACTCAGATACTGAGTATGGTAGTTTTTTTTTTTCTTTTGTTGTTTTAGAGCTAAAATGCAAACCATCTCTTCCTCATCCTTGACATCATGACTGAAATTGTGAGAAATTAAAGAATTTGTCAGGCGGTCAGTACACTCAAGTATAACGTCTCAAACGTCCGCAGACACTATGTGTGGAGTCCATGCGGCTCATGGACCGCACACAGTACGCCCGAGTATGTGGGAGCCTTTACAGCTGAGCAGTTCATCTGTCAGGTTACAGGTATTTTACTGTAAAAGAAAAGGAAAATTTCAGGAGTTCCTGCAAAAACTCCAAGGTGTTTATTGTGGAAACCTAAAATACATCAAACCTGTGGTTCTTCATTTGCTCACCATCAGATTTTAGTAAAACTCAGTGTTGCTGCGGTCCACCTCGGCCCCGTATGCCTAACGCTCTGGTCACCATCCGTTTGGCAACAGCACAGTCTGTCCTGGGACGTTCCTTCACTGGCTGAATAAACTCTTTGGGAAGACAAACCAAAAAATAAAAAAAGGTCAAACAAAGTGTAGTAACATTTTAACCACAAGCTACAGATCAAATCCGGAGCTCTACCTGCCCGACTGATGGCCTTTCTTTTAGCTTTTTTACTTGCTTTAGAGAGCACTCGTGTCTTCAGCAGCGGGTGGCACATCGAGAGAGCCTGGTGGGCTACAAACAACAAAAGCATCAGTCACTGCCAGCTTTTCAGCTCCAACACAGCATCATGTTAACAGTGACGCTCTCACCTGCTGCCTCGGTGGAGAAAACTCCCAGAGCATGTGTGTCGTCCACCCACGTGATCTTCATTCCACCATCACTGACATACACATGGAAGCATTTTGTGATTTGCTTTGGGGTATTTTAAGCACACAAATTTACTTTTAAATACCCAAGAATCTCAACCACGAACTTGTGGACTCCTGGGGTTTAGACTTGCACATTCAACCTATTCTTTTTAACAGAAGATTACATCAGCAGACATTTAACAATTTGCCTTTCTTCAGAAATGGGAGTTAAAAACGATCTACGATGTTATAAAATACAGCCAGATCAAAAATTTAATTTTCTATTTGTCACTGAACTTGTTCTTGGTGAATCAACAGAAGCTGGTATGATGACAATAAAAGGTTACCTCATGGAAACAATAGTTTTAAAACTTTTAAGGGGGACATCTACATAAAATATTAGCATGTGATTGTGAGTTGTGCTTCAGACATCAGAAATTTGTGACTTCTGTATCTGTATCTACAATGTGGTGTTTTATTAACCTGGACCAGGTCAAAGTATAACTTCACGAGATTGTGTCTGAAAGAAGTTAACAATTTAATTTATTTTCATCTATAGACAGAAAATAAATTTAAAACATTTTTATCAGTTTTATGTGTGCTAGTATGAGCTGTTTGCATGTATGAAATACAACTTTTCAATTAAAAAAAGCCTTTTTATACCAACTCCATTATGTTTGTTTCAGTGATTGTTAAAGGTGATGTAAATACTACTGAAAATTTTAAACTATTTTTGACCGTCCCACTATGTTAAATAAAAGGCCTGATGTACAACTAGAATTCAGTCGTTATAATATTAAGTACAACATTTCAGTAATGTTTTTAAAACACATCTATGACAGCATAAAAAAAACAACTAACAAACATTAAAAGCAGTGTGTAGGATTTGTTGTTTTCAGCGACATCTAGTGGTTGAGTGGTTGAATCATCCTCCCTGGTCCTCCCCCCACCCCCACCCCCCGCTTCTAAACACTACGGTGTCTCTCAGGTGTCAAAAACCTTTGATAATTCCAACCGCGATGTCTACCAGCAGCTTCAGGGCTAGTGATGTTTCAAGTGGTAAGATTATGAGCTTTAATAAGTAAAATTATCCCAGCTACAATGACAGACAACAAATATTACATTTATAGTATTACAACTAAAACCGTTTTTAACGCCACCACCGCAGTTTGTCCTTCATGAGACTTCGTAGACAAGATGGCGGCTGCCTGTGTGGCGACCTGCGACCATGGAGATATAAACAGCTTTTTATAAGGTAAAAATAATAAAACAAGGTCTTTGTCTGCAATGATTAGACATGTTTTTATTATTGTCATTAGTGATTATCTCAATTTCGGCTAAAAGAATTGACAAAATCCTACACACTGTGCCTTTAAAGCAGAAAACTTTAATCTTATCAAAACATGAGAGCAGAAGATTAATGAGGACACACTGATCCATAAAGCTGAACTCTAATCTCGTACCTGTATTCTGCAAAAGCATCAAGGAGGTCGTTTGTCTTGAACATAGCTGGAAAGTTGTAGATCTCGATCACGTGGCTGAAGTCATCAGCACTGAAAGCCATGTTCTCATAGACAGAGTAGTCACTGTGAACAAGCTTTATGGAGATGATGTCTGTTTCTTTGAGACGTGCCTTGATCTAAAAAGCAAAGAAATAACAGCATTATTTTTATGGTTATATATTGTGAAGAGATGCTAATGTAACAAGGCTAAGTATCTGTTAAGAAATACATTTCCGTCAATTGCGAAACACATGTGTCGCTGCCATAAAAAAAAGCAAAACAGGTTTATTATTTGTCTCAAACTACAAAGTATTTAAATAACCCAAGGAAATTTTGGCAAACTGTTAGGACTCTTGCAGGTAACAATCATTGCTCAGACTTTCCCCAGTCATTAACTATAAATTCCTCTGTGGTATCAYATAAACCAGAGATGCTAAATTGTTTAAATAGACACTTTGCTGTCTCTGGATCTTTATTTGATGCTGTCACTGGTGCTCAACCTTTAATTTCCTCTGTGAACCAATCCTCAAACAAAAACACTTTTTCTTTTTCGTATGTGTTCGTCGGAGAAGTTCTTAAGGCACTAAAGAGTCTAGATCCTCAAAAATCTGCAGGACCTGACAACCTTTCTCCTTACTTTTTACGCTTAGCAGCAGACATTATAGCAAAACTAGTCTCTCATATTTTTTWTCTCTCTTTACAAACTAATATCATTCCAGACATGTGGAAGGCTGCTTTTGTTCTTCCCCTATTAAAACGTGGTGATCCTGGTGTGCTGAACAATTATCGTCCCATTTCAAAACTTTGTATTTTATCCAAGGTTTTTGAAAAGCTAGTTAATATCCAACTTAAAGATTATTTGCAGGCAGCTAATATCCTGTCATGTCATCAGTCTGGTTTTAGGAAACAGCACAGTACAGTTACAGCCACCACAAAAGTTGTAAATGACATCATTGACGTTTTGGATGCTAATCACTACTGTGCTGCGCTTTTTACTGACCTGTCTAAGGCATTTGACACAGTTGACCAAACTATTCTTTGTCAAAAGCTGTCAGCTATTGGTTTATAAGATAATGCTGTTGGTTTTCTAATTATCTGTTAAATCGTAGCCAATGTGTGCAACACAGTGGTTTGTCATCTGATTATTTAAATATCACAAAGGGTGTACCACAGGGTTCAGTTTTGGGTCCTACTCTGTTTTCAATTTATGTAAACAGTGTCGGGGATAAAATAGCTGATGTTGTGCACATTTTTATGCTGATGACACTGTGGTTTATTCCAGTGCGAAATCTGTAACTGCTATGCTTGGACATCTTCAGTCTGCATTTGATGTTCAAACTGACTTGCTTCAGCTGAAATTAGTCCTAAATGCTGTAAAGACAAAAGTCATGCTGTTTGCCAACAAGAAGAAAGTTCCACAAACTCTGCCCCCTATAAAAACATTGACCGGTATGTCAATAAGTATGTTGAGACATATAAATACCTTGGCATAGAAATTGACAATAAGCTTTCATTTAAGTTGCATATTGAAAATGTTGTTAAGAAGCTGAAAGTAAAACTAGTTTTTTTTTCTTTGGAAATAGATCATGTTTTTCTTCCAGTGCTAGGAAGCATCTTGTTTTAATGACCTTTCTGCCCCTGTTGGACTACTGCTACGTTGTTTATATGAATGCACCRGTCACCTGCCTACACAGGTTGGATGCCGTCTATCACGGTGCACTAAGGTTCATWACYGGATGTAAATCTTTCACTCATCACTGCACTTTATATTCTAAGGTATGCTGGCCATCATTAACAATTCGTAGGCTCATGTACTGGTACATTTTTATCTATYAAACAATTTTGGGATTGTTCCCGCCTTACTTGTCCTCATACCTCTCACTCACTGTGCGGTCACAGGCTACGCTCTCAGAACTTGCTCTCCTTCAATGTTCCATTAGTACGGTCAGAACTTGGAAAAAAGGCCTTCTCTTACTCTGCTCCGTCAACATGGAATGCTCTACAGCTGYATCTGAAGTTARGTACTTTGATTCCCTTGGGACAATTCAAATTTCTTCTGAGACAAAAAAAACCTTCTTATTCAATTCAATTCAATTCAAAAATACTTTATTGATCCCAGAGGGAAATGAGGTGTTGTTGTAACTCATTTAACTAAAAACTTATTG